CCCTCTGCTTCCTCCAGCCAAGACTCCTGTGGAGTATAACCACCTTGCCCTTGGTTGAGAGTGCCTGTCCCCACTGTTGTATCTTGAGTTCCCAATTCCTAGGTTTCTGACCTGTTTTTTTTGCCCCAAATGGCACTGTGTAGCAGGAAGATCCAGGTCAGTCAGCAGGCACTGGGAACTGGGAGTGCCATTGCCCTTGCACCAGAGCAGATCCACCCATGCTGGCAGATTCCCAGGACCTGGAGCTGCAGGAAAATGCAGGCTCGTCCCGAGATCCACTGAGGCAATCCTGGGCTGTACACAGGCCAGGTTTTCTGAAGCAGGAAGGCAGTGCACAAAGCACCAAGAAATATCCACTCCTAAAGGCAGGAGTGTAGTCAGGTTTACCTTCAGAGTCCCCTCTGAACATTGATTTATTTTCCCAAGTCCCTCAGAAGTCCTGAACTGTGCAAATCCTCCTTGTTTTAGAGAGGTTAAAGAAGAGTTTTTATGTGCATTGCAGTAAGCAGCTATGTTAAACATTGACCAGCCAGTTCTCTCTTGTGGTTCTACCACATCACCTCCTCACCCTCTTTTTGGCCCCTGACTTGGGTCCTTCCAGCACAGAGGGAGGAGAAATATCTCCCTGGGCTGAACAGGGCTGGAACTAGCTGCTCCTTTGCCCTCAAGGAATAGCATCACTGCCAGAAAGCAGCTGAGGGCATCCTGGGTTCTGCAGCTCTGCTGAGATGTCATCCAACAGTTGCTTCCTGGAGGACCAGAGCCGATGCTGATAAATTTGTTTTTTCCTACCACTTCACAATTCTCTTGAAATCCTTTTCAGCTCATGCTTGGAGAAACCCCAGATGAGGATATAGGTTCTTCTTAACCATGTTTTGTTTTGAAATTGGGCAACAGCAGCGAGTAACTGGAAGGTGAACTGGGAGCAGTGGCATCTCCAGATCCTCAGACTAGGTTCTGGCTGCAAGGCAAGACCTCAGCACTTGGATGGCATCTCCTTGTTGGCATCCACCACCTCCCTCAAAAAACCTCTTAAGAACACAGAGTCTCTGATGTAGGAAAGAAAAATACAATCTTGCACCTCAGCAAGTCCTGAGTTTGCAGTGGGTGAACAATATGTGACTCACACTGCAACAAATTTCTTGGCTTAATCCCAGCCCACACTTGTCATCAATATTCCTCTGCCTGTTAAGAGATATTGTGAAATAATCCTGCAGGTTGGGAAGCTCCTGAAGGTGGCAGATGATGGATTTTTGGCAGAGGGCAGTCATGTTACGCAGAGGTGGCATGAGACTCTCAAACCATCTGAATTCAGGGGAATGTATGGGAGAAGTTGCTGAGAAAAATGAATATGAAAGTTTATCTCTTCATGAGTGTAAGTTCTGATTTTGGTAGGACAATGGGAATGGAGGCAATTTTCAGGTCCCAATGTGTGTGTTTGTTTGATGTCAGCAGTAAGGGGAAGATCAAAAGATGAAGCTGGGTAAAAAGAAATAAACACTTGGCCGTCATTCTTCCAGATTTTCAAGCAAGTATTTGGAAGATGTAAATCAGCCCTTTGATATCCAAATTTAGTTAAATGTACAGCGAATTATTTTGGGAAAACGCAGTGGGATTTGGCTTATCTTGCTTGCTGACAGGATTTGTAGCATATTATTTCTGACCTGAGTTGCGAATGAGTTACTTGATACATCTTGGTCTATGCTAATGGCAGTTCTGCCGCGGATCAGTTTCACTCCAACATCATTTTCCTTGGGCTTCTGTTGATCTCTCTTCGTTTCTTTTATGTTCTCATGATCCTTTACAAACTGTCTGAAATTTGACCTTTATTAATGAGGTCAGAGACTTTTCCTCCTCTCGAGAACTGGATTACTAAACCTCAGAGAGTCTCTTTATTTAATTCTCTTTCCATAAATCAGGTTAAGAATTGTTCAAAGTCCATCTCGTTGCTGAAAACGATGATAGAGTGTAGATCGTGCTGGATCAAAAGGCATTTCCAGGGGGGTTTTAATCTTTTCCCTTTTGGTTCTTGTGAAGTATCTAAATTTCCTCCTAAATCACCCTGCTGCTGTGTTCAGATGACGTGCTGTGTCCGTGGTGAGGATGGTGAATGCAAACTCATGGCCATGAAGAAAAAGTCATGCTTGGATTCATGAAGAATTCATGCCCATGAACAAAATTCATTTAAATTTAATCAACCAGTTAATTATTTGCTATCTGACCTGAAACAGAGGAAGAATTACTGAACATGCAAAGGGTTTAATGTGCATCAGTTCATTAATTTTAGGTCCTAACTCCCAAATTTGTAGCAGATCACTGATTCTCACTTTATATCATCGTGTATCTTGGGGTGTTGGAAATTGGACTAGTGCTCTTAGATTTAGTTGTGATGGGGTTTGGGGTTGTTTTAGGGGGTTTGGAGGGGAAAGACTTGGGAGTGACAGTGGATGAGAAGCTCACCATGAACTGCAGTGTGAGCTCAGCCCAGAAACCAATGGAATCCTGGGCTGCATCCAAAGGATTGTGGGCAGCAGGTCAGAAGAGGTGATTCTTCCTCTCTGCTCGCATGACCCACCTGGAATACTGCACACAGTTCTGGTGTCCTCAACGTAAGAAGGACATGGAACTGTTGGAGCAAGTCCAGAGGAGGCCACGAAGTTGCTAAGAACACTGGAGCATCTCCACTATGAGAACAGGCTGAGGGAGTTGGGGCTAAGTCTGGAGAAGAGAAGGTTGTGTGGAGAACTCAGAGCAACTTTTCAATATCTGAAGGGGCTACAAGGAGCTGGAGAGGGACTCTGTGTTAGGAACTGCAGTGGCAGGACAAGGGGTAATGGGTTCAAACTGAAGGAGGGAAAGTCTAGGTTGGATGTGAGGAAAAGGTTTTTCCCTGTGAGGGTGGTGAGACCCTGGCACAGGTTGCCCAGGGAGGCTTTGGCTGCCCCAACCCTGGCAGTGTTCAATCCAGGCTGGATGAGCCTTGAGCAACCTGATGTAGTGAGGAGATGTCCCTGCCCAGGGCAGGGAGTAGGGACTAGATGATCTGTAAGGTCCATTCCAACCCTTAAATTTTATGATTCTATGATTTTTTACAGTATTGGCTTTGGACTATTGATGAAAAAATAAAGCATTAAAACACATGAAAAATTAGAACAGATTAAAAAATTGCATTTAGTAATAAAAATATCTTTAATTTAAAAGTTTCCCTCCCCCAAACTTAAAGCAAATCTATTTGTGATTGCCAAAATATACCTCCATGGTGGAATGACATCACCTACATGTGTTTGGGGCGACATAAATCAGCTCAGATGATCTCTGTTTATTGGTGCTTTGGGAATTGGGGAGCACGTAGCTTCAGGACTATCATTTGCCAAAAGCTCTTACAGCTTGTGCTCCATATTCAAATATCATGGCTGGGCCAGATTCAGAGGAGCATGAGGTCATTTTTCATGTCACTGACCCAGGGTTCACCCATGTCTTAAAAATCCTCATGAACGTACACTTTTAATCATAGTAATTTTGCTGTAGGTTTGATATGCTAATTACTGCACTCACACTTTTTCATTTGAAGTGTTGGTTTTGATAAAGAAACAATATCAACACATGAACTAGACTTGGCAAGTTGAGGTCTAAATTATATTCCATCTCTGCCTGATTTCCTCACGGTCCTCGCTCCAAGTGTGAATTTGGAATTAAGAATGAGAAGGCTTGTCAATAAAACTCCTTTCTTTATTTTCTTTAAGGATTGGACTGCAAATTTAATCTGAAAATCACTGAGATTCCACACTTTGACAGCTTAACAAAACAATTTCATTTACGCAGACATCAGTGAAAATCATTTTTTCACACCTTGCTGCAAGAATTGAGTCTCTACTGGTAGATTTTTGCTGCTTTATCAGCAAAATTTGTAAAAAGCATTATATTATTTTAATAGGATTGGTTTATAACTGAAGTAGCGACTTTCTTCTATGTGTAACTTCTGTTTTGCTGTCTAGATGTATTTACACACACGATGTAATTTATTTTGTAGCAGTTTCAATGCAGTAAATGAACCAGAATTGGAAAAAAAAAAGGTGAAGTATTTTTTTGTGGTCAGCTGTTTAATCTTATCTGTTTGTGACAGCTTGAAAACCTTGTTCAGCCTAATGTCTTCTGTCATGGCAGGGGCTCAACTACATCCATGGAGCATCAGTGCAGTGCTTGTAAATCTGGTGTGGGTAATTCATAAGGGTTCTGGAAGTGTGAACATTTTATCTTCTAGGTCTTGTTTTTAAGTGGTGGAATAGAGATTTTTATCAAGGGGAATTTTTAGGAAGCTCTTGTGGATATAGGGAAGAGCATGCACAGTGGTGAGGTGACTGGAGTTGGGATTTGCATTCACAAGGGCAACGTGAATGGATGAGAAAAAGTCACGTTGTCCTGTTTCAATTGTCACTTTTTCCATGTATGATATAGATAAAATATGAGCTGCTAATTATACATAGAATTTAATTCTTACTGAGATATGTTTAAAAACCAGCCGAGGCAGAAGAGTTCAGCTCGTTAGGTCTGTCCTTTAATGAATGTGTCTGTGAAGAAAAGGGTCACCACATTCATTGGGATGAGCAGGAAAAGGATGCTGGACCCTCAGGAAGTGAGAGCAAATCCCTCTGCCAGGCTCAGTCCTTGGTCTGGTGGTTCCCCATTTCCATCTTCTGCTCAAACAACTGTTTCTCATGGGCATTTTGCCAGGTGATGCAAACTTCTGGGAAGATGGCCAAGGGCCTTCAGTAGTCATCCTCATCATGGCGTGGGTGAGAAGGTAGTGCCTGCCTGGCCCTGGAATAGGGAGAAAATCCTGGATGAAGAATAAAGTAGCCAAAGAGCTCTTGGGAAAATGGGTTAGAGTGTTATCTTTGTGCTTTTGTTACTGTGTTTTCACTTGTTCCAGTAGCCAAAGTCTGTATCATCCAAAGCTTTGGACTCACAAACAGGGTGGCAACTGTGCCTGTCCCAGCTGTAGGTGCTTCCCTGGTCAGGAGTTGAGCACAGAAGTATTTTCCTCCCACGTTAATATGATTTGTTGAAAGCTAAGGAATGGCAGCTGGAGAGGTTTGGGGATAGTCTGGTTTCTGTTGCTGGCAGTAGAGTTAGGCTAAGCTTAGGAAGGAAGTCTTACAAAATCCAGAGTGTAGATAGCACCAATAAAATTAAAACCAGGGCACGTTGCAGCTCTCAGGCTCTTCTGAGGTGGAGAGGAGAGGGAGGTCTCTTCAAACATGGCAATTTGTCTATAAATTTGAAAAAAACACTTCTAAAAGGACTTTTCCTTTAGAAAACAGCCATTTGTCCAGATATCTAAAATTCCATGTTGTCTCTGATGTAGGTGAAGTCTTCCAGATGCCATAATATCAGCAGTTCCAGTAAAATTCCTGCTATTAACTCTGTTTAATTCTCTCTGTATGCTTTTGATTATGGACTGTGTACAAATAATCCACTTGCTTTCTGTGATTTTGTTCTAATCCTCATT